TGCATTTACTATCATGGCTGGACACAATCAAACATCCTTAAATGTACAAACAGTCCGAGGTTTACAATAGCAGCTCATTATCCATCCGGATGTTTTTTAAACATTGGAAGATGTTTAGGTTTACCATTATGTAAATCCTAAGACACAGGTTTTCAGCATTTGATACAGAGGACAGAAGGTTATCTACTCTGCTGCTCTTTTCCTATAGAAGCATTTACAATTGGTGTCGCTAATGGTTGCTGTTTGAATGGCATCCTTGACAATCAATTTTCTGCTGTTTTCTAACCACTGAAAATGCAGATAATCAACTACCATAAATTTGGTTTGCTATGCAGTACTACACAACGCCTGTAAAATAGTCTTCCTATTGTTGGCAGAAAACAGGGACTGCATCCTCCCCACTGCACTGCACATGTATAAAGTGTATGAAAACTCAAGCAACAACCAACAGATAATGTGTTCTTCTGTCTTCTGGAGCTGCTGTCCTGGGCAACTGTCCATATGGCAGCTAAACTGTTAAATCTATTGTGTGATTAAGAATTTTCTCTCAATAAGTATGACATAACAGTACTTTAGAGTTCTGATTGGTTCATTTTACAGTGAAGCAGCCTGCAGTTCAAGCTCCAGGTGAACAGGCTGCACTCTGTAGAATTTTGCAATTTCTCCTCCGTGCAAGTGTGGATTTTTGTTTTTAGATTTTCTGGTTTCTCAAGTCCAAAACTACCAGGTTGGCTGGTTATTTGGGCCAAAATTGGAAACAATGTTTGCTTTTTATAATGATGAAATAGATAACTTTACTTGATATTTTGTGATAGAAAAGTGAAATGCAGGTAAGCAAGCTTAAAACTTTTTGCATTATAATATTACAATTAAAAATTCAACTGAAGAATTATTTTTGTCTCCAAAATATAAATGCTTTATTTGCATAACACATTGCAAGAGAACACAGATGAAAAAGTACAAACCCCAAAATAACCTTCTTTTATTAACACTGCATTGGATTTATAAAACATATTTCTGTTACTTCATACTCCACATGGAATAGAAACAAGCATGGACATGTTTTCAGAGTCTAAAAGCTTGCTGGTGCTGTTTGCAGTCTTGGATTTGAAGATGATCAAACTGAGTTCAACAATGGTTACTGTCAGAACAAATATCAGGATTACTGTTACCCTCTACTACAGCTGTAAAATTGCTATATTACATTTCTAAATATAAAGTTTGGCAAATATAAGTGTCAATCTGTTTACACTTAGAATCTTTTGACTTGTAGCGAAACACTTTTTCTGTAATTCTTGACCTCTTACTCGACTTCTATTTTGGTAATCATGTGTTGTTTTTAGCTGAAAAATTAAGATTTTTCTCTATGTAGTTTACCAGCTTCATGGCTCAGATTCTGACACAGTCCAGTGACACACACTGCACTTGTTACCCCAGATTGATATCAGGGCTTTCTGCCTGTGCCTCTGTCTTGTTACCGGTTGTTTGCGTGTGTTTGGGTGTTGTGAGGGGAGGAGGACCAGAGGCAGACCAACTTCCCCCTCCGTTTTTTCTTCGACCCCTTCAGAAGTCACACAGAGGGGCCAGATCACAGCAAACTCAAACCAACATGTGGTTTGAGTTAGCATCTCTCCGTTACGCCTTCTATATGTGGGCTTGTATGCATACTCACAGAGCTTGTTGGTGTCTCTGAACTGGTGCAGTTCATGATTTCACTTTTAAAGCTAGGTGTGTTCTTTGTGCAGATTTTTTGTGTTTGAGAGAAGGAGTTTTAGGTATTGCATATGAGTGTTTCTGTTGTGGGTAAGGAAGTAAGTTTAAATTAAAAAGTCAATACACTGTCTATGAAGATGCTGTAATTTAAAAAAAATAAAAATGTTTAAATCTTTTTCTTAAAAAAAAAAGCAATTATCCCCTCTGATGCAGTCAGCACATTATTAGTTCATACTGAAAATAAACATGTATGCTGTATATTTAGACTTGTCATGCAGCTTTTTTGTGCCCAGAATTCTTCCTCTCTGGCTGTGCTAGTAAAAAGTGCAGATGCATGGTCATGGTTTTTGACTATTATCAAAGTTTATCTCTTCAGCATCTCAGGAAGCAGAACAGGAGGGAGCAATGAACCAGCTCACTCAAGCTATTTTCTCCTTTTTTGATTATTTAAATAACCTCTTGCTGCGTCACAACATCAGATCTTTTTCCAGCCCAATTTACTCACCCACACAACGTTCCTCCAAGTGGCCTCTTGGTTTTTCTGACCGCTGTGATACGCATCTCCCCACTTATAAAATGATTGTCTGATTAAGCGATGCTTGCTCAATGTAAATTGGACTTGAAGCAGACTAAACATAATAATACTTGAATAACTTTAATTGGGGAGAGAAAGTGGGTCGCAGTTCATCCAAATGCAGAAGTATAGATGAACATGATAAAGTTCATCAGCACTGAAAACTCTATTTGAAAGAATTGGACCGTAATGTTGTTGAAGGATTAATTATCTTTTGACCAAAAGCATTGTGCTTTACTGTTAGGTTAAAGGCAAACATTATGCTTCAAGAATGTTTCATTAATATGCACCCATAATTGATGGACTGTGTTTTCAGGAATGCCACATTTGTAGTATTCATCATATTTTAGCAAATGCAAAACAAATTGATGGTTTATTTGGTGATGAATTTGGCAGAAAAAATAAAAGAATCAAGTCTGTTCTACCAGAAGGTCAAAAACAATATGAGATTTACTTCAGTATAGATTAACTGTATTTTAATAGGTTTTGGTGCTGACTAAAGTAAAATCCAAATTCTATTTATTAAAGCTGAAGAAACTATTTGATGGTCCCAGCAATCCCAACTTAAAAGAAAATCTTAAACAAGTCTCCCTTTCTTGCATTTGATACATTTACATAAATTAGATAGATAGAACACCAGATAAATCATGTGCAATGGCCAAAAACAGTAGCAAGGAATTAGATGAGAATGTATTGTGATTGACAAATGATGTTGGAATTTTCCATTGTAAGGTTTAATTTTAGTATTGGCCCGCCAAAAGGTTATACATCACTTTACTTTAAAAAGTGATCATGGTTATGGTTTGCTAAGTTCATGAAAAACAATACATAAAGGAACCAAAATTGTATTTCGTGGAATTAAAAAAAAAGAATTTTAATGGCAACAGAAAATATTTCCAAATTTGCTTCAAAAAGCAAAGCTGATAATTTCCCATTTTAGCCAAATAGCCTTTAATTGTTGTATAAAAACATCTGCTAGCATCTGCAAAGCAGAAGATTTATTATATATAAAGATAACTGATATTTTGTTCCATCTACATTACATTCAATTAACTATATTGTGCTATATTTAATATCAAATTCAACTGTATAAAGTGCATTGCTCTGAATTTTTTTTTTTTTTTTTTTTTCACATACTCCAAAATGACTAAGAGGAAATCGTTCAAAATTTTGCCTCCCAGGGACATGACTAAGTTTTTTTATGGCTGAGTAAGAACTCATTCTCTTGGGAAATATAAAAATAGGAATTTATTTCGAAAATGGAGGACTGGATTTAATCTAAGCGCCAAACAACAGTTTGTTCCCACCATTGGTCTCAAAGTTATCTACATACATTTGTGATAGAATGTGATAATCATTAAAAAATACACAATTAACTCTGAACCATGAAAAGAACAATCAAAAGTCAACACCCACCTCCAATCTACAGTCAACACAGCCGCGATCTTGGTAAAACAAACTGCTTGTGAAGTTCTTTGCAATGGGATCCCTGCAAGAAAAGCGATCTGCACCAGAAAATGTGGTCAGGGCGTTGAGACCTGAACTTTGCCTCATTGGTTAACTGGCTGTCCCAGTGGGACTAATCTGTTTGTTGGTGCAGCAGTATATTTATCAACTCTCTGTGCTTCTCAGTGGCACTGATATCCTGAGGATGTGGAGTCAGAGGCATGAATAGATGCCTGTATGGACAGATTGTTTATTTGCGAGCAGTTGAAGGTCGAAGAATGGCAGAGCGGGCTGGCATTGGCTGATATTCCCAGAGATTCTGTGACCTGTATCTTTATATACCAGTCCTTGTGATATGTTTCATTATACATGATTGATTTGGTGGATTTGACGTATTTTAATACATAAATCATATCAACTGTGTGCAGATTTTCAGAAATTCATTCTGCGAAGAAAATAAATATTTAATCTCAACCTAATAGTATTTTTCCATTATCTTCCTGGTTTTTAGCTTCAAGATTGTTCTGGCAAGTCAAATTAATCTTTTCCTGAAGTACTATAAAATTGTCAAAGAAATAGGAAAAAAATTATACCCTTTGATAAGTCCAGTGTTTTACTTTTCAGGAAAATATGAAATGTTCTGTACTTCACAAGAAAATTAAATTCAAGAAATCTAAACTAAATAGTTCAACAATTGCAACAACAAGCCAAAGTAGAAAGTAGTAGCAGCTTTAGGTGAAAAAATACCAGCTACATCAAAGAGCAGCTTGTTGAATTACCTTTGAATTTTCTTCATAAATTCAGTTTGTTGCTGTGACTGGAATTGTTTTTCTGCTGAAGATTCAGTTCACTTCAACTGACAGATGGTTTCATATTTCACTCAAGAAAAGTCTGCTATGAAGATTTGTTCATTCTCAAAATAATCCCAAATCACTATACCTACACAATAGTGTCTAATAGGTGGTAAGAGGTGTTTTTGCTTTGCTGCTGTTTTTTTTTTTCTTCCTGTAACCCTTTTCCTGTTTGTCTTGATGGGAACTTTCACACTTGATATTTATTGCATTTTAAACAATCAACTTTTGTAAGTAGGATAAACTAACATAAATATCGGTTGCTTGGAAAAGCTTGGATGCGTTTGCTAAAATTGTGGTAGAACGTGAAAGGATAAAAAAGTTTCATTTTGACTGGTACTTGACATGCCTTATTTTTACCTCAGCAAATTGAAGGAGAAAATTATTGAATATTTCCTACTTTTTTATTTCTGCAGTTGGAGAACTTCATACAGAAGAGTTTAAGGCGAGATGCTGTTAACATGCAGTCGCATGTTGTTAACAACCAAACAGCCACAATGTTGGAGATCGGAACGAACCTCCTCTCACAGACAGCAGAGCAGACACGGAAACTCAATGTGGTGGAAGCCAAGGTAAGGAGTTTTCATTTATCTTGATTTAACTTCAGTCCACAATTCCTGGGTGAATTATGATTGTGTTCTTCCACCAGGTGCTGAATCAAACATCAAGGATAGAGATCCAGCTTCTGGAGAATTCATTGTCCACCAATAAACTGGAAAAGGAGCTCTTACTCCAGACCACTGAGATAAGACAGCTGCGAGATAAGAACAGGTAATAAATGTTGGTATTCAGAAACATATGCATCATATTTCTGCCTCACTCTTCTTGTGTTGATAAAACACAAGAAGAAGTCAGAATTTGTTGGAAAAATGATTCTTACAAGGTGAGAAATGCTAAAACATAGCATGAAACACACACGAAAGGTGGAAGCAATATGTGATTCCTGCTGACCTATTAGCAAGAATATTTGAAATCTAAGCAAGTCTGTGGAGAAATAATGGAAATGTGTCCTCTGTTGTTGCTGAGAGACTCACCACTATTTGGATTCACCATATTTTTTGAATTTTTCATTATGAAGCGAATTTGGACTATGCAGAAAGTGGCGAAACCCACAGTGATAATCAAGCATGTTCTCTGTTTACAGTAATTGATATAACACAAACAGAAAGGCTTGGACTGCACACATATGTGTCAGCATGTAAGGGATGAGGAAACAGTAGTTTCAAAGTTGGTGAGAGATTTCCTTTGTTTTGCAACCTTATAAACTCTGACACTTATAAACACAGAAATACGCAATCCAAGTTTAGTGGGTGATATAGCTAGCACTGATTAGCAACATTTGTTTACAAAGTGAAGTAAAAGTGAATGAACTGAATAAACTGTGGATGTTAAAATAAAACAAATTCGAAGGACTCAAATATTTCAAACATAACAAATGACCTAAGGTTTTACAAGAAATTTACAAACAATTACCCCATGGAGCAGTGTACTTGATTTGAACAATAAACCAAAACAGAATAAACCATTCATCTTCTTTCACCCTTATCCCTAGTGGGGTTGGGAGGGGTGCCTATCTCCAGCTGACATTTCAGGCGAGAGGCGGGGTACAGGCTGGACAGGTCGCCAGTCTGTCGCAGGGCAACACAGGCACAAACAACCATGCACACACACACACACACTCACACATAGGGAGAATTTAGAGAGACCAATTAACCTGATGGTCATGTTTTTGGATTGTGGGAGGAAGCTTAAGTACCCAGAGAGAACCCACGCATGCACAGGGAGAACATGTAAACTCCATGCTGAAACACCCTGGGCTAGGAATCAAACACAGGACCTTCTTGCTACAAGGCAACAGTGCTACCAATTGAGCCACTGTGCAGCCCAAAGAACAAATCATTCCTAGTATTATTTTGTTTTGTTTTTGCTATTCTTTTTTACCACGACTATTCCACAGATCTAACATGGCAGATTTGCACAGACAATTCGCCATGATTGGTCTCACGTTATCTATGCAATTTATTATGTCTCACTTGACATGCAATCATGTCAAAACCAGACATGGTCTTAACGTCTCTGTATAAAAGTGACATTAAAATCAAGTGATCCTTTTGTTATATACATACAGTAGCTCAGATTTTACCTGTTACCTACAAAAAAAACATATTTTCTCCAGGTCCTATTAAAGAGTTTTTGCTGGACAATCGTTCAAAATAATCTAATAAACTATACATTACCTTCTTGTACCATACCAGTTTTTTTTTCTTCTGTGATTCCTACATTGTACTGTTTTGTAAATTTGAGGACTGTCGAAGCGTTGACATGCATCTAATGTAGATCCCATCACAAGAGAACAGTTCATGTGCATCAGTTTACATCTGGTGATAAAAAAGGTTGGTCCTGGCAAACCACATGTGAATGGAACTTGCTTCTTTGTACAAATAAACTTGTACGCTTCTTCACTCACAACCAGCTGTGGAGAAATGGACAGAACATCCTATGTCTGCTCAAGTTTCTGCAACATCCCAGGTTAAGCTCAATGACCTGGACCATATAGTAGACCATAACATAACATAGCATTGAAGTCTTTGTCAAAATACAGCAATCGATATAACTCAGGCAGATCTTAAACATAGATTCTACATTAGAGACAAGTACAAAATATATGTATGTATATGTATGATTCTGTACACTTCAGTCTTTTTTTTTCAGCTTTGATTTTAAACCAAAATTTAATATTTACACATCGTTCTACAATATTTTTATACAGCTTGTTCAAAATAGATAAATCAGTTGAATATCTTATAATTTACAACAAATGCCAATTATAAACTAAATATGGTCTAAACTGTCTTCAATGTGTTTTCAGGTGAAGTCGGTTCTGTTGTATATTAGACTCTCAAAATATACAGTTTAAATCTGTTTACAAACAAATTATACATAATATTTTGTTAGACCTGTTTAGTATTCCATTTTGCTTTGTCTTCTAAAAACACTTCCAAGTTTATTCCTCATTAGCATTAAGTTAGCTGAGTTGCTTCTCACACTAGTTGCTGTGTCACAGCTTCTACCATGATTAAGAAATGTATTTGAACTCGACTGACTTTGAAAATTAAATAGATGGGTTTTGTTAATTTGGAATTTGATTATGTATAAAATTTATGCTGCCAGCAATAATGTGCTAGACTAGTTTAGAATAGCTTGTCCATCTATCCAAAGTCAAATAAAGAACAACCTGAACCTAACAAAGTCCATGATTTGGCTCTATAAAATTAAAATCGGACTTATCTGAAAACATACTTGCTTAAGCAAAATGATAAGGATTTTCTCTTTTGAATTTTGAAATTTAAAATACAAACACAAACCTTTTTCTTTCTTATATTTTGCAAGTAAAGTAAATTAAAATTGCTATAACTTTGCAACTTTGCAGAATGAATGAGCATTCATTCACACTTGTTTCTTTATACGTTCCTCAAAAACCGCAGCACATTTAAACAGTCAATCTGTCTCCATCAGGGTGAAAATTGTTTTCACATTTATGTGCACTTCAGCATGTTGAAGTGATCACAGCCAGGGACTGATCTTGGATTTCAACTCTGTTAAAGTGCCCAAAGTCTCATGCGTTCATATAAGACAATGTTATCCCAACTCATAAATGAGCAAAAGAAGCACAGAATGATGAGGCATTTTGTTTACATTTTCCAGATGTTAGCTTTCATTTCTTGAGTTGACCTTTAGGAATGCAAATTTAGATTTTTAGAGACTTATAATGTTTCATAAACAACATAAATTCCTTGCGACAAAACTGTGCATTTATATGCCACCAAAACAGCTCATATTCTGTATTTACTCATTTTCAAACCATAATTCACATGGTTTTCAACCAAATCATCACTTTAATGTAGTCATCAGTGTTTCTGCTGTTGTCAGATGGATTATCATGAACTGTAGTTCAGATGATAAGCCTTTACTCTACCTTTGGGAGCTTCTTTTGCTACACATACCACCAATCAAAACCTAATTTCTTCCAAAAATGTCTTCAAGTATTAAGTTAGGATAAATAACTCACATTTCAAGAGAAAAACATTTCTATATAAATTTTCACTGGCAAATCCTCTGAGGAGTCATCAGGAACGTTGTTGAACTGTGAAAAGTTCATTTGGATGTCTGCGCTTTTAATATATTATGAGAATCCAGTTTGTACAAAACTATTGTAGCTGATCTCTTGACGGACGAAAGTAACAAAATATGATTCTAATTTAACAATGAAAACATTTGAATATAAAATATGTTTATTCTACCCACAGACAAAGATTTTTTTTCTGTGAATGTATAATTGTGGATTTTGTTGATGGATGCATAATGAAAGATTGTCTGAATCTAAAGGTTGAGGTGAAAATGTAGTGCCAGTGGCTGCTCATGGTTTATACGGCCGACTTTATTTTTTGTAAGCAAGCCATTTCATCATCACATAGCTTAAACTTTAAATGACGGAGAAATTCAGACTCAGTGGAATATTTTGTGACTATGATTAATTGTATAAAATGCAGCATCGGGATCCAAAACAATACATTGCTTATTGTTTCACCGCCACAATAAGCAATGTATTGTGCTGTGAGGTGATCTAATTCCTAACACCACTTTAAAAGAAGAGAAGAAGAGACATAAATGTTTCTGAAAACTGGAAGATGTGATTTCCTCTCATTACATTTAGTATTTTACAAACTGCAAAAAGCCTGTTAAATGTTTAATGTGAAGGGATTGTTCTTTTCTCTCTATTTCTTTCAGCCGTTTGGAGAGCAAAGTTCAGTTGTTGGAGTCTCAGCAGAGAGGCGAACTGGAGGACATGAGACTGGAGAAGAACCGGCTGCAGGTACAGTTAATGAATGGGACATCTGTGTGTTATTATAGTAAAGAAACATCATTGGCAGAGGACTGTTTGGACAGGTGTCTGAGTATGTATTAAAATTAAAATTAATCATGAAAGGTCTCTCAGATGTTTATATTCTCTTAATCATGATTTTAGCAAAGATTTTGACTCCGTAGAGCCACACTTTAGTCAAAAAATAAAAATTTAAATGCTCACATTAAAAACTTGTGTAGTAAATGTAAGTCATCCACAAATATGCAAATAACCTTTTTCCTCATGTGATTTCTTTTTTTAAAAAAACTAAAAAAATCAAGTCTGGACAATAATCTCAGTTATTAATATTACAATAAAAAATGCATCATATCTTAACAATAATTAGCAATAATAAAGGCCAGCAAGTTGCTCAAAGAATCCACAGACAACAATTAGACATTAATAACCTTCTGATTTTCTTCAGTCTGTCATCAGGACTCAGATGGTGGCCATAGAGTCTTTAGAGAGGCAGCTGAGAGTCGCCACAAGCAACAACACGGCTCTACAGAAGCAGCAGGCTCAGCTGATGGAGTCAGTCCACACACTCATTGACATGGTGGCCACGACGACTGGTACGTCCAAAACCACTAAGAGGTTTTCTGGAAATAAGATCTTAACACTTGATGTTGATTTGCATTATGTCATGTGTTTTGCTTTCAGGGTCTCCTCCTCGGAGCCAGATGTGGAAGGACTGTGCAGATGCTTACAAGGCTGGTCATTCTGCCAGTGGTGTGTATCTCATCTACCTCAGTAACAGGACAGAGCCTGTACAGGTAATCACTTGATATTCAAGCAAGTTTTAGCATTTAGATGATTTTAGTGTGAAAATATCAAATATGAGTGTGTTTTTTTTATGCGCATGAAGGGAGAGGGTGGGTATTACGATAATAATAAGAAAGTACTAATTTCCACTTCTGTTGGTAGGTTCTGCCACTTATATTTAGTATATTTTTTTATTATTTTTTTATTTGGTTGGGACACATTCATTTTGTATGTGTTTACTGAGTCAAGAACAAGGTAAAAATGTGCAATTTGTTCCCATTTTCATTTTCATTTTTTAGCACATTTGTAATAATGATCAAACATTGCAATGTATTTGCAGTTGTGAATGCCATGTGAGTTTGACCTAAGTCAATTTCTGTTTTGTTTTTTATTTGGATTACATTGCATCCCCCATATGACTCATTTTTTTCCATTTCTCCTCGTGAAGGTTTATTGTGACATGGAGACGAGTGGTGGCGGCTGGACGGTCTTCCAGCGCCGTTTTAATGGCACCGTGGATTTTCAGAGGAGCTGGAGGGAGTACAAAATGGTCAGCATGTTTTAGAATGAGTGCAGTTAAAAACAATAAATTTTTAAAAATAAACCATCAAGGGAATTAATTCACTATCACTCCTAATCTCCTTGTCTTCTCGACCTGCTGCAGGGTTTTGGGGATGTGTCGGGGGAGCACTGGCTGGGTAATGAAGTTTTATACCTGCTGACTAGTCAGAGTCAATACTCTCTGAGAGTGGAGCTACAGGACTGGGAGGGAATCTCTGCGCATTCCCAGTATGACCGATTTACAATGGCCAGTGAAAGACAGCAGTACAGGTGACTCACATGCACACATGCCACCCTACTGAAAGACAAAATATTTACATTATAAAAAATAAATAAATTTAGATTTAACATTTCAATTCAAATTCAGTACCTTAACTTAAGCCTCCCGTACTAATCTGTGAGGTTCCAAAATTATTTACATTTAATCTCAAGTGTATAAAATACAAAACAGATACATCGAGCCAAAATAGAAAGATATTAAAAATGTTGGCTAATTTACCACTTTTCCATATGACATTGTACTGGCTAAAATGCTTATTACCCCTAATCAAGCATTTTCTTGTTTTATCTGTGTTTTTTTTCTTTTTTTTTTACCAGCTGTTTAATTTTACAAAATGTGTAAGTAAAACCAAATGTTCATTGCTGGTCTTCATAAATGAACAAAGTAAATCTATTTTTTTGCTAAACATTTCGCAATGTCCCAAGAAAGTAGATCAATGTTAAATGATAGATTTTATGCAGCTCAGATAAATCTGTGATTTTCCATGAGTAGCAAAACACCCGGAAAAAAAACTAATGATTAAATTCTATGTATCTGCTGATTGGAAGCTTTTCATTTTTAATAAGCCAATTCAAAGTGAAGAAAACACAGAATGTGAAATACCATCTTTAATAGTCTCACCACAGTTTAGTCATTTTCACTTGTTTTAGTTTTTATAAGGATCAATGCCAGACAAAGTCATGATGATCACTGATTTGTGAACATTACCAATTCTGGAAAGTTTTTTATTTCTTTTTACATTGATTGCATGTTTATTGGTATATGAAAAAAGATAATGATTTATGACTATCACTAGCCATTGTTTTTTATCTTTATAAGCCAAAACACAAAAATGTTATTCTGATTTTGTTTGTCCATAGATCAAAAACTTTTAATCATTCATAAAAACAGATGTAACACATTCCAATGGCTGGATTTCTTTGAATTTTTTAGATGGAAACTCTCTGGTCTTTGTCACCAGTTTATTTTCTGTCAAGAAAATTTACAAACTGTATCCCTAGACATGGATAAAACAAAATGCAACACAAATCTGACTTAATGTGTAATAGTGCACATGTTAGGAATGTGATTTTGAGATATTAATCAGAATGCATTTTTTAATACTTGAAATACTTCAAATGTAGACCACAACTAGAAGATCTACAGTTATGGCTCACCTCAAACCTATAACTGTAAAATATTCACTTTATATAGTGTAGTATTTGAATTTAATTGTAAACTAAAGGCAATAGTCAAAAATAGTCATTTGATATCCTAAAAGACAGAGCAAGAGTTAAACAATTTTTGTCCAGAGGAGATAGAGGAAAAAGTTCATTTTCCTGCTGGCCAAATAAAGGTAAAGGTGTCCTCATCTGTCTCAATTGAACAAAAATAACTCAGACGGCTGCAGTTCGTCCAAAGTGCTGCTGTCATACTACTCACTAACACCGCTGAGGTGGAGCGCATTCCATCGTTTCTTAAATCACTACAACGGCTCCCTCTGTGTCAAAGGGTAGATTTTAAATTCCTATTACTTCTCTAAAAAGCACTGAATGGCCTAGGGCCTAAATATATCTCTGATTTACTTCGAGATTACAAAACATTCTGATCCCTCAGATTGTCTGTGACAGCTTTAGTGAGTGCTGATGGAATCAAACTCAGTTTTTATCCTCCCTACCTGTGAAACAGTTTGAAACCAGAGAGCAGCTCAAAGTGTATGCTCATTTTGATCAGCGCAAAAACAAACATCCCAAACTCAGTGTTTCCTTACCTGCAAGCCAGATGTACTTGCAGTCTTTGAAAGTCAGTAAAAGCATTTTTGGGTTGCTGTTTTTTTAAATAGCTTTATTCTAATTGATCAATCATTTATCTTTAAGGAAAAAGAAAGTTCAAGAACTCAACGGATAAAAAAGTTTTATGTGTACAGCTACCACACAATTTATTTATAAATTATACTGTATGTTCTTTTTCTTTTTAAAGAGGAAAGTTAGTTAGTTAGTTAGTTAGTTAGTTAGTTAGTTAGTTAGTTAGTTAGTTAGTTAGTTAGTTAGTTAGTTAGTTAGTTAGTTAGTTAGTTAGTTAGTTAGTTGTCATATGCATCTCTCATTCACTCATTCATCTTATTTTCAAAATAAAATATGATAGTTCGACAATGACCTTTAGTTCAGAGACAAAAGGACAAAACTGTAAAAAATAAACGGTAAGAATGAGAACTTAGAAAGACTTCCATGCAACCTGTAGAATAGCTAATTTAAACAACTTCGACAGATTAGCAAGCAAATCAGCTTAGTGTATCTATAGTAGAAAGGAATGCATTTAATATTTTATGTCTGCAAAAAAAGACAATAAGGTAAAGAAAATGACAAATGCTTTACCTGTTCTTATGTGCTTTTTTTATCTTATTATCTCTTTTCCCTCAGATTGTATCTGAGAGGTTACAGTGGTACAGCAGGAAGGCAGAGCAGCCTGATCACCCATGGTGCCGGCTTCAGCACCCGAGATCACGACAATGACAACTGCGACCACTGCAAATGTGCCTTGATGCTCACTGGAGGTAAACTTTCTTTTCTCCTTTTACAAGAGTCAGCAGATTCCAGGTCAGTAGTCATTGTGTGTAAGAAACATTATCTTTTTGAAAAATGAGCTATTAACATAACAATGGCAAAATAAAAAGTAAAAGAGTTTTAAATTGGGTATTTCTAGGGTGGAATAGTACAGATAGCATTTTATTACATTTTTATCAAAGAGTGTATCTCTACCATAAATCAGTATAAATTTTTAAGTGCTTCAAGAGACGCACCTTTTTCTAGTTAAGAATCAGAATTATTGGTATTTTGCCAAAAGGTCTAGCCAGTCAAACATCTGTCTCTGTCAATACACTTTCACCTTGACCAACCGCCAACACAAACAGCTCTTTGGGTCTCCTCAGCCTGCCCTCGATAGCTTGTAATCGCAGATTAACTTAATTGTTTCAGCTACAATCCCCCAGATCTCAAAGGAAAAGACTCCAGCAGTGACCGTTAGTCAGTGAGTCATTTCAAATCACTGCACTTTATAGAGAAAGACAAAGTAAAATAAAAAAGTGACTGAGATGGAAAGAGCAAAGAAAAAAAAGACAAACAGAGCTCCATCAACTGTTGCCTCAGGCAAAAAATACATTTGCGCCCAATTTGAAAATAATGAGTACTCTTTGTGAAAAACAAAACAAAAAAAACATGTTGTTTTTAGAAATTTCAGTGTAATTTCAGACACGTGTCACAAGGTAAAGTAAAAGCCTCTCTCTGGATCAGCCAAAATTTGCCTGACTTTTTAAAAAGTTTATTTTCTTTTTATTTGCAACTCTATCTTTATTGTATGAAAGTTTATTTAATTTCATGTTTTAAGCTCTTACTTATTCTGTAAGGTATTTGTTAACTGTTTGCTTTTGAAATGCAAAGAGACAAGTAATGTGGCTTTAGGGATGCATTGTGTTTTACTGTATTGTCTGGTTTCTTTAAACTTTGTTGTAGCTTTGTTTAAATATA